CAACTTCAGGCGGTGTCACAGAAAAACACTGGGGCCCCAATGCTTTCCCAGTTCATGAATGATTTTCTTCATATGGTTAAAGAAACCTAGTTCAAATCATATAGAAAAAAGTGGATTTGGTCCAAAACAGAAAGCTAACTGGAAGAGAACTTTGCCCTGAACCCCTAAAATGTCACAACTTTTCCCAATTCTTAACAAATAATCAATTAATGAAAGAACGTTTAAAAATTGAAACATCATTAAATACTTGCCAATATTCTGAAAGTGTGGTCTCACATCAAAAAAAAAGAAAAACCCACATATTTCCAAAGTCGGTTTTCCCTTGATTTGTTCTTTGCCCGAGAAGCCTTAACGTTGTCGGCCACACTCGTTTCACTCCCTTATAAAAAGCCAGTGCTGGCATTCTGAGGGTGGAAGGCAGAGTAGGAGGAACCAGGAGAGAAAATGGAATGTTTCTGCTGTTTACAGCACCGGGGAACGGTCAGGAAACAGCACCGCAAACCTCTGAGAGCCCAAGCAGTGTAGCTGCGCCTTGATGGTATCTTCGTTCAAATACGGAGCAGGTGAAATAAGAGAGGAAGGAGAGGGGGCGGCTGTCCCTCAGATGGGCGAGAGGCGTGCGAGCCACCTGAGCCAGACACACTGGTCGCATTAGACCACAAATAAAAGAATTGATAAATAGATGGATACAATTACAAAACCACTTAGCCCAGTGTGAGGGCTCCTGCCTGTGATCCTAGCACTCCGAGAGGCCGAGGCCGGAGGATCCCTTGAACTCAGAAGTCCATGACCAGCCTGAGGAGTAGGGAGACTCTGTCTATACCAAAAATAGAAAAAACTAGTGGCATTGTGGCAGGTGCGGGTGGTCCCAGCTACTCAGGAGGCTGAGGCAACAGGATAGCGTTAGTCCAGGAGTTTGAGGTTGCTGTCAGCTAAGCTGTGGCCCCAGCCCTTCACTCAGAGCAATAGAGCAAGACCTTGTCTCAAAAGTAAATAAATAAAACTACGCATCATCATAAGTACCCTTCAAAATAATAGGTAAAGACCGAGGAGGATTTACAGAGGCTTTTAAAATTCCTGCCTCACGTGTCAATGTCCGCTCAGCGCGTGTTTTCCACGCCCCCCTTGCAGGGAACGAGGTGGCAGACCCGGGAGCACCCGGGAGCCCCATTCCCGGAGAGCCCCGCACCCGCAGGAGCAGCTCGGCCTGGAGCACGGCGGGGACCCCCGGAGGACGCGGGCACCTGCGCGTCCCCACCCCGGGGCAGCAGGCACCGGGCAGCGCCGGCGTCGGGGAGGAGAGGAGCCCGCGGCCTGGACGGCGGCGGAGAGCGCGGGACGCGCCGGGAGAGGAGGGCGCCCGCGGGGACCTGGCCCTGGCCGTCTGCCTGTCGGTGTTCGTCACGTTCCTCGTGGCTTTCTGCCTGGGGGCTTTCGCAAGGCCCTATGTTGACACACTGTGGCATCAGAGGTGCCGCCGCAGAGGCCCCGGCTCGGATCTAGCCTATTGCAACGCGGGCTTCTCCGACTACAACGCCGCGGCGGGGGCCGCTCCGCTCCCTGAGACCCGCCCATGCCAGGCTGCCGGCGGCCCGCACCTCTATGACAGCCCGGCCTGGTCCCCGGGGGCCGCCGCCCTGCCGGGAGGGACGCTGCGAGGACGCGGAGCAGAGCCTGGCAGCTGCCACCCCAGCGGGACCCGCGCCCCGGCGGGAAGCGGTGGTGACAAGGCGCTTCCCGGGGGCGGCGAGGCGGGCTCCCTTCCCCGCCCACACCCCAGCCCCGGCGACGACGGAGCAGCCTTGGCAGCGTGGGGCCACATCCCCAGGCATGACATTCAGGGCGAACCTCCAGCGGGTGTCTCTCCGGTGGCCTGCACACCGCTAACTGTGCCCGACTCCGGTCCTAATGACATCGACTTCCACCTCCCACTCTCAACAGCCGTGACAGCTTCTCGCTCGAAAATGCTAACACAAACGCAAGCACAGAGGACTGGCCAGAGCAGGCGAGGACGGGACACCGAGCAGTCCCCTTGGGAAAGCGCTGCCTGGCACATGGGACTTTCCAAGAAGACGCAGGCGAGCGCTGTTAGTTTGGGGAGCCCACGGCAGTGGAGCCTCAAGGAGGCCAAGGCCGAGGGAGAGCTCCCAGCCTACCCCAGGGCTCCCACACACAGTGCCCCAGGACACAGGGACCCATCGGCCTTCCCTCCAAGATGGGACACCAACCTGGATGTCACTCCTGCTTATGAGGAACCAGTACAGAAATCTGCTCCTTCTGACACCCAGCACGAGTTGGAGAGTGACTGTGACTCTGATGAAGGCTCATTGTTCACTCTGAGTTCAGGGAGTTCAGAGGGTGCCACCAACACCGCTGAAGAGGAGGCAGCTGGCCAGGACAGCTGCAGGGCCACTGAGGCCCTACAGGACGAGAGTTCAGGGACAGGCAGGGACAATGTGACATCACTAGAAGGTCCTAAGGACAGTGTCACCTTCCAAAATATTGTAGGGAAATACAAGAACCAGGAAGATCAGTTTGAAAAACCTCTCTCTTCTGGTCCAGACGCTGCTTTGTGCAAGACTCATCTGGAAAATGTCCCTATCATCAATGAATTTGAGGATCCATTGCCTTTGCCCCAAGCACTGGGGAACAGCCCTGTAAGGGACGAGACTCTGGACATGTATGTTTGTGACTATGACGAGTTACTTCAGTCCAAGGCAGCAGAATGGCGTTGCTCACTTAGAGACTTGGAATTTGCAAATGTGGACACTGAACCACAGACAGCACCGCCTGCTCCTGACAGTCCGGCAGATCCTAGTCAGAGCACCTGCTATGGGAGAAACTCAAACATTTGTACACAAAAGCCTTTCGTGCAGGGAATAGACACAGCTCAGAAAGACATTCCTCCCAAGATCACTTAAGACCTTCACAACAAGATCCTGAAAGAGAGGAGGTGAATTCCAATGAGATGGAAATTGAGGCAAATGACGGCCTTGTCTGTCCACTTGAAGACTGTGATTCCAGAAAGGTTATAAACCAAACCCAACTGTTACAATCCTATGGTGATGAACCTGCTGTTCCGTGTGAACAAGGAGAAGGGGAATATTTTGAAGATGGTTCCCAAAACCACGCACTGTTATTACAAGAACTTCCAAATAAAACCAGTTCACTAAGACTACAAGGGCACTTCAGGGATAGAGATTGGGGTGAATATTCAGAGCAGACTCTGTTGCACTTAGAGAAAGATGATTCTAACTCATTCTCCAATGCAGACTCAGAGCAGTCTGGTGGGAGTTGGCTCTCTTTGTGAAGAACAGCTACACTATGACAAAGACAGGAGCATTCAACTTGATAATCAAAGGGAATTCAAGTGACACTCTTAGTGCTTGTTGAAGCACTTTATGGAAATGCGTAACAGGTTTTGATGAATTCTGCACAAACACTAGTACCACTTTTGGAGATTGGTCATGAAACTGCAAAATTGAAAGAATTCAGAGACATTCTAAATATTTTTAGAGAAGTGGGATGGTTTTGTAGGATGAAATGTAAATTAAAAATCGATTTTAAAAAATATTGATGTTTTCTATAAAAGAAAAAGGTGCTCTGCCATATCCTTGTCTAGTCCTTGCTTGTGTGTCTGTCCAGTCTGGGCATCACGCGTCACATTCTGTTCATCCTCATACTTCCCGGACATTTTCTCATTGCTCCACTTATCACTCCCCCCCTCCTCTGCTTGCCTTCTGAAAGATAGCATTCCTCAAGGGTTTGCTCCTAGTCTTTCTGACTCCTTGGACCCCACCACTTCACCAACCAACTCAATATAGACTTGTCATATCTGCATGGCAAGGCCCGGCCTCCCCACATGCCAGAT